TCATGAGCTCCCTTTCACCCCACTACCATTCTGAGCCTCCAATGTCCATCATTCCACACTCTGCTCCCATGTGTACATATTATTCAGCTCCCACTTCTAAATAACAACATGCAGTATTTGTATCTCTGTGTCTGAGTTGTTTCACTTAAGATAATGGCCTCTAGCTCCATCCATGTTACTACAAAGGACATGATTTCATTCTTTTTATGACTAAATAGTATTCCATTTCTATATATACCACATTTTCTTTATCCAATCCTCTGTTGATGGATACTTAGGTTGATTCTATGCCTTTGCTATTGTGAAAAATGCTGCAACAAACATGGGAATGCAGATATTGTTCAATATACTGATTTCCCCTCCTATGGATACATGCTCAGCAGTGAGACTGTTGGGTCATAATGGTACTTCAATTTTTACCTTTTTCATGAACCTCCATACTGTTCCCCATAATAGTTTCACTAATTTACATTCTCACCAACAGTGTATGAGGGTTGCCCTTTCTCCATATCCTCACCAGCATTCATTATTTCTTATCTTTTTTATAAAAGCCACTTTAACTGAGGCCAGATGATATCTCCTTGTAGTTTTGATTTGCATTTCTTTGATGACTAATGATGTTATTAAGCATTTTTTCGTATACCTATTGGCCATTTGTATGTCTTCTTTTGAGAAACATCTATGCAGATTCTTTGTACATTTTTTAATCAGATTATTTGATTTTTTCCTATTGAGTTGTTGGAGTTCCTTACATATTCTAGTTATTAATCCCTTGTCAGATGGGTAGTTTACAAATATTTTCTCCCATTCTGTGGGCTGTCTCTTCACTTTGTTAATTGTTTCCTTTGCTGTGCAGAAGTTTTTTAGCTTGATGTAATCCCATTTGTCTAAATTTGCTTTAATTGCTTGTGCTTTGTGGGTATTACTTAAGAAGTCCTTGTACAGACCAATGTCCTGAAGCATTTCCTCAATATTTTCATTCAGCAGTTTCATAGTTTCGGGTCTTAGATTTAAGTTTTTAATCTAGTTTGATTTCATTTTTGTATATGGTGAGAGATATGGGTCTAGTTGCATTCTTCTGCATATGGATATCCACTTTTATCAACACCATTTATTGACGAGATTATCCTTTCCTAATGCATGTTCTTGGTGACTTTGTTGAAGATAAGTTGACCATAGATATGTAGATTTATTTCTAGGTTCTCTATTCTGTTCTATTGATCTATGTGTTTGGTTTTCTGCCATTACCATGCTGTTTTGGTTACTACAGCTCTGTAGTATAATTTGAAGTCAGGTAATATGATTCCTCCAGTTTTGATCTCTTTACTCAGGATGACTGATGACTTTGGCTTATTTATATTGTGGTTCCATATAAATTCTAGGATTATTTTTTCCACTTCTGTGAAGAATGTCATGGGTATTTTGATGGTGATTGCACTCAATCTGTAGATTGCCTTGGGTTGTATGGTCATTTTAACAAGAATGATCTTCTAATCCATGTTCATGGAATATCTTTCCATTTTTTGTGTGTCCACTTCAATTTCTTTCATTAATGTATTATAGTTTTCACTATAGAGATATTTTACTTCTTTGGTTAAGTTTATTCCTACATTGTATTTTATTTGTAATTATTATAAAAGGGATTACTTTCTTAGTTTCTTTTCACATTGTTAGCTTTTGGAATATAGAAGTGTTATTGAATTTTGGATGTAGATTTTGTGTCCTGCAAATTTACTGAATTTGTTTATCAGGTCTAATAGGTTTTTTGGGAAGTCTTTAGGTTTCTCTAGATATAAGATCATATCATCTGCAAACAAGGATAATTTGACTTCTTCCTTTCCAATTTGAATGCCCTTTATTTCTATCTCTTTCTTGTCTGATTGCTCCTGCTAGAACTTCCAGTATAATGTTGAATAACAGTGTTGAAAGTGGGCATCCTTGTCTTGTTCCAGATCTTAAAGGAAAGTCTTTCAGTTTTGCCCCATTCAGTATGATACTAGCTGTGGGTCTGTCACATATGGCTTTTATAGCATTCAGGTAAGTTCCATCTCTACCAAGTATTATGAGAGTTTTTTTATCATGAAGGGATGTTGAATTTTAGCAAATGCTTTTTCACCATCAGTTAAAATGATCATATGGGGTTTTTTGTTCCTTCTGTTGATAATACAGATGTAGCTTTGCATATGTTCAATCATCTTTGTATCCCTGGGATGAATCCAACTTGATAACGATGAACAATCTTTTTAATGTGTTGGTGAACTTGGGGTGTTAGTATTATGTTGAGGATTTTTGCAGCTCTGTTCATCAGAGATACTGGTCTACAGTTTTCTCTTTTTTGTTGTGTCTTTTTCTAGTTTTAGTATCAAGATGATATACGCCTCATAGAATGAGTTTGGGAGTATTCCCTTCTCCTCGATATTTTGGAATAGTTTAAGTAGGATTGGCATTAGTTCTTCTTTGAATGCTTGGTAGAATTCAGCAGTGAATCCATCAGGTCCTGGGCTTTTATTTGATGGGAGACTTTTTAGTACTGCTGCTATCTCATACCTGTTATTGGTTTATTCAGGTTTTGGATGTCCTCCTGATTCAATCGTGGAAGGTTGTATGTGTCTAGGAATTTATCCATTTATTCTAGGTTTTCCAATTTACTGGTATATAATTGCTTATACTAATCTCTAATGATCCTTCAGATTTCTGCAGTATCAGTTGTAACATCTCCTTTTTCATCTCTGATTCTATTTGCATCTTCTTTTATTCTTAGTCTGGCTAAAAGTGTGTCAATTTTGTTTATGTTTTCACAAAACTTTGATCTCATTGATCTTTTGTGGGGTTTTTGTTTCAATTTCTTTTATTTCTGATATGATCTTTATTATTTCTTTTCTTCTAATTTTGGGTTTGTTTGCTCTTATTTTTCTAGTTCTTTGAGCTGCATTATTAGATTGTTTATTTGGAACTTTTCTCTTTTTTTGATGTAGGCACTTAATACTATAAACTTTCCTCTTAGTATTGCTTTTGCTAAATCTCATAGATTTTGATATGTTGTATTTTCATTCTCATTTGAGAAATTTTTTAATTTCCTTCTTAATCTCACCATTGACCCACTGGTCATTCAGGAGCATGTTGTTGAATTTCCATGCAAGTGTATGGTTTCCAATGTTTCTCTTGTTATTAATAGCTAGTTTTACTCCATTGTAGTCAGAGATAATACCTGATATGATTACTTTTTTTTTTAAGACATGTTTTCTGGCCTTACACATGGTCTGTCCTTGAGAATGATCCATTAGCTGAGGAGAAGAATGTGTATTCTGAAGCTGTTGGATGAAACATTTTGTAAATATCTATTAAGTCCATTTGGCCTATGATGTAGATGAAGTCCAACATTTCTTTGTTGATTTTCTGTATGGATGATCCAGCCAATCCTGAAAGTGGGGTATTGTGTTCACCAGCTATTATTGTATTGGGGTCTATCTTTCTCTTTAGCTCTGGTAATATTTATTTTATATATCTGGGTGCTGCAGTATCAGGTACATATATATTTAAAATTGTTATATCCTCTCACTGAAGTGACCCCTTCATCATTGACCTTCATTGTCTCTTTTTGTAGTTTCTGTTTTGAATTTTTTATCTGATGGAAGCATAGCTTCCCTTGCTCTATTTTGGTTTCCATTTGCATGGAATATCTTTTTCCATTCCTTTATTTTCCATCTATATATGTCTTCATAAGTGAAGTGGGTTTCTTACAGACAACATATACTTGGCTCTTATTTTTTTATCCATTTAGCCACTCTATGTCTTCTAATCAGAGTTTTCATTCTATTTATATTCAGTGTTATTATTGATAGGTAAAGACTTATTACTACCATGTTATTATTTGATTTCTCATTATTTGTGGTCCTCTCTGTTCCTTCCTTCCTTCCTGTCTTTCTTTGTTAAAAGTGATTTTCTCTGGTACTGTTTAAATTTTTTGCTTTTTAGTTTTTGTGTATCTATTGTAGGTTTTTCATTTGAGGTTACCATGAGGCTTTCAAAAAAACATTTTATAACCAATTGTTTTAAAAATATGACAACTCTGCTTACAAACAAACAAGCAAAGAGAAATCTAAAAGAAATTCTACACTTTAACTCCATACTCCCCTGCTTTTTAACTTTTTGTTGATTTAATTTATATCTTTTTATAATACCTATCTCTCACAAAGTTATTGTAATTATTTTTTTCATGATCTGTGATTTTGTTTTTAATTAAGTTATGATCACACATAATTTTCAAATTTGTGTATATCTCCTCTACTTTAAGCCTTTTAATGACTTGGTAAAAGCACCATTACCAATCACACATATATAGATCTTCTACATACACAGTTGTATGTGTTTCTGAAGAGCTGTTTAAAGACAATCTTAAATTATAACTTAGTCTGACTTAAGGTAGTAAAGAATTCAAAAGTTTAATTTGCTATTTCTTGTCACATTGACTTTTAAAAGCATTTAACCTTACAGATTATCTATAAAATGTGAGAAGTGTTAAATATTCTTTATTTGATATTACACATAAACCACACTAAAATGCCTTTCAATAAATAAAAGGCAGCATTTTAGTAGAAATAGGGAAATTGGATTGGCATAGTGAAGACCAAAAATATATAAAGTAAACATTGCTACCTTATCTCTAGCCCTCGCCTTTAACAGGCTAATAAACACAAATTGAAACACCAGTAAGTCTTGCTTGGTTCCAAAACAGTGAAGGGATTTCTCTAGTATTTAAATATATTCACATAACCAGTTGTATAAATCTAAATATAAAACCAATCTTCAACAGGTTTTGAAATGGCAATTTACCATCCTTGTGAAAAGTTGAACACTACTAATTAATCCAATCATGTCTTCAGAAGGGGGGAAACAGTGATAGCATTTACTGTATTGGAATTACTATCAAAATTCAAAAAACCGAATTAACCACAAGCCAGTCTTGGTTAAATCAGGACTGTCCAACAAAAATATTCTTGTCACTCTTTCATGATCTGAATTCTGGTGTATGAGACCAATTAAATTATGGTACACATAAAAAAAGTTATGAGATATTTCTGGTTTGTAATAAATAAGGCAGTGGCCAATTATTACTCATTAGTGGCTTTTTTGAGATAAGCTATCAAGTCTGCCCTTTCTCCCTTCTTCTTAATGCTGGCGAAGATCATTTCTGTTCCAGGGATGTACTTCTTGGGATTCTCCAAATACTCCATCAGTGTGTCCTCTCCCCAGGTGATGCCTTTGTTCTTATTGGCGTCTGTGTAAGAGAATCCAGCAGCCTGACCTGTCTTTCTCCCAAAGAAACCATGGAGATTTGGCCCAGTCTTGTGCTTTCCTCCCTTTTCCACAGTGTGGCACTGGGCACACTTCTGAACAAAAATCTTCTTGCCTTTCTCAACATCACCCATATTTGATTCTCTCTTTGGTTGCTGACGGCACGAAGGTTCCCAGTCAGAAGCCAGACGTCCTGCTCTCCTGTAGTTATTATTTTTGATAGGTTTGTCTTTTAGTCTTCCTACTCAAGTCTACACACCACAATTACAGAAATAGAATATATTCTGTATTTGTGTACTTACTGTTGTTACCAGTGAGTTTTATACCTTCAGATGATTTCTTACTATTCATTAATGTCCTTTTCTTTCATATTTAGCATTTTTTGTAGGAAAGGTCTGGTGTTAATGAAATACCTCAACTTTTGTTAGTCTAGGAAAGTATTTCTCTTTCATGTGTGAAGGACATTTTTGTAGCAAATATTATTCTAGGGTTAAGGCTTTTTTCCTTCAGCATGTTGAATCTGTCATGCCACTCTCTCCTGGCCTGAAAGGTTTCCACTGAGAAGTCTGCTGTCAGATGTATAAGAACTTCTTTATATGTTATTTGCTTCTTTTTATTTGCTTCCCTTAGGATCTTTGGGAAATTGATTATTAAAAGACTTGAGGTAAATCTGCTTGGTTTTCTATGACCTTCTTGTCCCTGAATATTGATATCTTCCTCTATATTTGAGAAGTTCTCTGTTATTATTTCTCTGAATAAAGTTTCTACCCCAATCTCTCTCTCTATCTTCTCTTTAAGGCCAGTAACTCTTAGATATGCCCTTTTGAGGCTATTTTCTAGATTTTTCAGGTGTGCTTCATTCTTTCTTAGTCTTTTTCCCTTTTTTTCTCTTCTGGCTGTACATTTTCAAATAGTCTGCCTTCAAGCTCACTAATTTTTTCTTCTGTTTGGTCAATTCTGCTGTTGAGAGACTCCGATGTATGTTTCAGTTTGTGAACTGACTGCTTCAGCTTCAGAATTTCTGCTTGATTTTTTTTATCATTATTATTATTTCAATCTCTTTGTTAAATTTCTCTGATAAGTTTCTGAATCCCTTCTCTGTGCTGTCTTGAAATTCATTGAGTTTCTCCAGGACAATTTTGAATTCTTTGTCTGAAAGGTCACATATCACCATCACTCTAGGATTGTTCATTGGTACCTTATTTAGTTCATTTGGTGAAGTCACATTTTCTTTTATGTTCTTGATACTTGTGAATATTCATTAATGTCTAGGCATTGAAGAATTAGGTATTTATTCTAATCTTCACAGTCTGGGCTTATTTGAACCTGTCCTTCTTGAGAAGGCTTTCCAGATATTCAAAAGGAATTGAGTCTTATGATGTACATCTTTGGTCACTGCAGCCATATCAGCACCAGGGGCACACCAAGCCCAGTATTGCTGTGAAACTTGCAGACTCCTAGTAGTACTGCATTGGTGGACTTGGGTAAGATAAAGGAGGATTCCCTAGATTACAAGGCAAAGTCTTTCACTCTCTTCCCTCATTCTCTGTGCTGGGCTGCTGGAGTTGGGGGAGGAATGACATGGGCATTCCCTCATGGCCACCATATCTGGGACTATGCCATGTCACACCTGAAGCCAGCCAGTCTCACACAAAGCCTGTGGTGACTGTTGCCTGGCTACCTTTGATGTTTATTCAAAGCCCAAGGGTTAGTCAGCAGGTGGTGAAACAGGCCAGGACTGGGTCCTTCCTTTTGGGACAGTGGATTTCCTTCTGGCCCAGGGTGAGCCTAGAAATGCTGTCCAGAAACAAAGGCCTGAAATCAGGGGTTTCAGGAGTCTGCTTGGTACTTTTTTACTGTGGCTGAGCTGGTACCCAAGTTGCAAAACAAAGTCCTCTGAAATTTTTCCTTTCCCCAAGAGGAGGAAAACTCTCACTGAGCTGCACTGCCTGGAATTGGGGGAGCAGTGACACAGGCACCAGCTTGACTGCTGCCATTGGTGTCTCGCAGGGTCACGAGCACCCTAGGTCCACTGGCTCCAAGCCAACACAGCCACAGGACTGACCCAAAGACTGGAGCCTTTGTGGCCTGTCTTACAAATTTATTCCAGGCTGGTTTTTGTCATCTAGTGGTGAGGCTAGCAGGAAGTGGGGAACTTGGGTTTCAGGGCAGAGGATTTCTCTCTGGCTGGACTGGTCTAAATGCTCCCTTGGTGGGCACCATTAAAATTCTTCCCTGTGTTGTGTTCCCTTGTGACAGCACAGCCCTATGCTGTCCCACAGCCACTTCCCTCTCCCTTCCCCAGGCATACAGATTCTCTTTCCACTTGGTGCAAAGGCATGATGACACTGGGGAATAGAGGAGGAGTGGTGTACACTCAAGGTTATCTTTTCTGCCCTTTTCAGTGCCTCTTTCCTTGATATAATATTAAAACCAAGTACTATGATCACTCACCTGATTTTTGTTCTTCTAAAGGTAATTGTTTGCCTGGATAGTTGTTGAATTTGGTGTTCATGCAGAGAGATGATTACTACAGGTTTCTATTCAGCCATTTTGCTTTGCCCCTCTCCAAAATGTCTGCAGTTCTGTTGGGTTTCGGGATCTGAAATGTCTGTTCTTGGCAAGCTTATGACCGAAAAATGACCAAATGCACCAAAGTAAGGCAAGCATGAGGTGAAATTTATGGAGGGAGAGCAAGATAGGATTATAGAGCAAGAGCAACATACATACACCACAGATGACAACCGGATCCCTTGCTGTAGCAGAAAAAGAGTATGGTTATGGTCCGGGTCTTGTTTTATGGTGTCTGAACTGGGACCTCCCCTCATGGTTCAGAGGCCACCATGGAACAACTTTGATTTGACAGTTGGGAGTTACATGACCTGAGTCTTACTACCCATGCGAGTTGTTCTAGGTCACTTTCTGGACTCTATCGTACCCATGCTGATTGGCCCATGGACTAGAGAGTCCTCTGCATTCTTTTACAATTGGCACACTAAGTTCTGATTGGCAGATTCAGAGGGTATTCCCTCCTATCCCAGGTATGACAGTTGCTCCAGACGGGATCAAGGTGGGGCAGCACCAGGGCAGGGGCCCACTTTCATCTTTTTTTTTTTTTTTTTATTCACTGGGCTCATGTCTTAAACCACTTTCATCTTTGGGAGACTCAGAATCCCTCGCTATCTCCCTAACTGTTCCACATCATAACCATGAGTATCAATATGAACCCATAATATACATACATATATATATTGCTCTGTTGCCCAGGCTGCAGAGCTGTGGTAAGATCATAGCTTACTACAGCCTCAATCTCCGGCTCAACCAATCCTCCTGCCTTAGCCTCCCAAGTAGCTGAGACTACTGGCATGCACCATGATGCCTGGCTAATTTTTTTTAATTTTTTGTAGAGACAGAGTCTTACTATGTTGACCAGGCTGGTCTCAAATACCTAACCCCAGGCAATTCTCCTGCCTCACCATAATATACTCTATATTTAAAAAATAAGTGTGTATGTATGTATATATATATATATATATATATATTTTCTAACTCAATCCACCAAAACATCCCAGAAGCAATAACCAGGAGCAATGACCACCACTAGCACCCAGATTGTAGTCTCCAAATGCCACTTCCCACACATAAAGAACTAGGGTGCTTAAAGAAATGACTCCAGTTCTGGGAGAGGAATTTTACAAGATGAGGCTGGAACATCTCATAATAAAAAGCAAGAAGGCTAACAAAGACTACTGGAGCTACATCAAAAGGGCTCAGGAGCCAACTTGAAAAAGCTCTCTTGGCCAGAGATGGGGCAATTTTAGCATTAATAAAAATAATAACTTCAATAAATTGAAATATATGAAATATTTAAATCTACATATTCATGATAATATGCAACAACAAATTTGTCATCTTTAAAGGATGATATAGAACCAACCCCGTATTTTGAAAACAAAGGTAAAGAACAAAGCATTTATCCTGTCTTTCCACTATGAATATACCTCTCAGTAAACAAATGGCTCATAAAAGGAGATTTCATCTTTTAGATGTATTTCAGCTAATATATAAAAAAGGAATGATAAAATCATAATATAACTATTTCTTATCCCTAATAAAATAATGGATTGCTAAGACTGCCTAAATCACTAATAGCTATTGACAACACAAAAAGAGAGAGAATCAGGAATCGAATGCCTCTTTATAGAAGCATACAACACTAACTGTGAGTTGACAACACTAGCTGTGAGTTGTCCTGTCAAAAAAAAAAAAAAAAAAAAATCAAACCTGAACCTGATCAATCCCCTAGATCCAACAACAAATTTAATGTAACTATGGACAGGGGAACACATTTACATGACACCATGGGGATGCAACTAGCAAAATCCAGACTATGGGACATTAAAAGGATAAACAATTCAACGTATTCAACAAATAAGATACAGAGAAGATTCGGGAAATAGGGAGAAAGGGACAGAGGATAAAATGGGAAGAACCTATTTTTAACCTATTAATATATTTTCCTAAAAACCAGTAAAACTTGATGTTATAACATAGTATTTTTCCAGTGTACTCTCAAATTAAGCCTAAATGGGATATTTGCTGTAAGAATGTATTTTTTAAACTTGAACTTACTGGCTGGGAACGGTGGCTCACGCCTGTAATTCTAGCACTCTGGGAGGCCAGGGCGGGAGGATCACTTGACTTCAGGAGTTTGAGACCAGCCTTAGCAAGAGTGAGACCCCGTCTCTACTAAAAATAGAAAGAAATTAGCTGGAGAACTAAAACTAGGAAAAAAAAAATTAGCTGGGCATGGTGGTACACACCTGTAGTCCCAGCTACTTGGGAGGCTGAGGCAGGAGGATCACTTGAGCCCAGGAGTTTCAGGTTGCTGTGAACTAGACTGATGTCACAGCACTCTAGCCCAGGCAACAGAGTGAGACTCTTGTCTAAAAAACAATCTTGAACTTACTGCTTTGAAATTATTCTTTGCAATTACTGTCATAAATGCAACAGAGAGATACAGAATAGTTAAAAATTCAGGCTAGAGAGTCAGATCCACCTGGTCCAAACCTGAGCTCTGCACTTAGTAGCTGTTTAAATACAAGAAAGTAATTTCAGTTTCATAAGCATCAGTGTCCTCATCTGTAAAATGAGGCTAATCACACTGACTTGGTAAGATTGTTTTGTGATTAAATAAGATATTATATTCAATACATAAAGAATTTAACACATA